CAACTAAATGTTCTAAATGTTCCAATTAAGCTAACAAGGATCACTTACATTTTGTTGTGTTAAATGTGACTTATAAATACGCCTTCTATTAATTAATTGACTAAACGCATCAGTGAAATCGTTTAGCGAGTTCCATTCATTCTTTACTTAATACAAAGTTGTACAGAAATTTATTAGGTTGACCCAAGTAAAATAATTTTCTCTGTTTTTAAATTATTCAAAAACTTTATTGCCCCTACAAAATGATAAAAAAGCACTGCAAACTCCCACCACCTACGGCATAAGAGCACAACGTAAAGTTAAAAAAGTTTAAAAAATACGAAATTGTTTTGAAAAGAAAAATTTTAATTATTTTAATCTGCATTACAAATTAAACTTCATTAATAAGAGTCAGATTAATTTTTTCAATTAAAAATCTCATCCTATTTTGTTTTGTTTTAATTCTTAAGTCCCCATAAATATTTTAAAAAGTTTACATTTCAATAAATTATTTAAGTTGATTTGCATTTTAATAGTAGATAAATATAGAATAAATATTAATTATAATTAATTAAAATAATTAATAATTAATTAATAATTAATTATATGTATATTTCCTATTATAAAATAGATTATAACAATTTTTATTGTCTTTATTTCTATAAATAAAGGACATATCACAGGAACTTTAGATTTAGTCTTACATACTAGGTTTATTGATTTCTCAATAAACGTTTTGCGCTCTCAGCCATCTATGGACTTCTATATTTTAGAAATCAGTTTAGATATTATGATATATTATCAGTTTATGATATTTTCGTTCAGGCCTGTGATAGCGCCTTTATGTCGTGACATTAGAAATCTATTAGATGGGATAATGTATTAGTGGCTATATAGTTATGAGTCGACATAAAACTCTTTCCAAAATGGAGTTAATTTTAGTTTCAGAATTGATACTTTAATAGTCATTGTGGACCAAATGTGTTAAATTAACTACATATACAATTATTCGAATTTATAAATCCTTCTATTATTAAATATGTGAATACCTACAATTTAGGTATTCATAAAACCTGACTTCATTCTTTTATAAAATAGAGTTTTTCTAATGAAGTTTGGTTTCATTAGATCTATAAGATTATTCTAATACGCAGAGTAAATAATACTTTCACAAGTTTAAACGCTATCAGACATTATTAGTTCATTTTTAAAAGAAACATGAAAAAAATTGCATGCTTATTAAATGTGTATAACTTTTGCGGCCCAGAGCTCAGAGTATAATTGGGCTTCAACATGACTGTAGCCTATAAGCGGATAACTTCAATTTATCTTAACAGTTGAAGAGAGATGAGCAGTTATAGACAGGTTAAACTCATAATGCCAAAAGCGATGGTCAGTGAAGCGATAAAAGTGTTTATCTATCCGCGGAGCATCCTAAGTTGGCTGATTGTTATTTTATTAGTTAGTTTAGTTTTAGCTACTGAAAATTTCAAACTGATATGGCAATTGGATCTTAAAATATATAATTTAAAATTGAAAAATATATACCGGTTAGTAGGTATGGACACAAAGATTACGGATACGTTTATTCAATATTAGGTTAATGTTTCATAGTAAAATGATGATAGTTTCGTTGACACGCAGCTGCCTTAATTTGATATTGCATTGAATTCGAATGCTGTCATCTTTGATTTTCAAGAGTTTGTAGTTTTAAATATTTCAAAGTTAAAGGTACCAAGCTCTATAAGCTCCTAAGCTGTAAGTGCAAGTACCTCGCACAAGTTTCGCCTAAAATAGCTTTCGATATGTACTTTATTTGAAGTGATTATATGGTTTTCAAGTGTAAAAGATGAATGTGGTGCATTAGAGAAAATACCGAGGCACTTGAGTTTTGGGAATTGATCAAAAGTTTGTGAATGGATAATAACATGTTGGCTTTGTGTTTTTGATTTATACAAAATGTTTGGTTTACTCTGGTTAATGATCAGCAAAGCTATATTTGTCAGAAGCCTGCTTTTTCTTGAAAACATTTTCTTCAGAACGTATTCATTCCAATCGGGGATGGATATAAAAAATGTACTCTAATTCACACTCATTGATTTATTATATTACATATTGCAGCATCAGGATGACAGTAGAAAGTTCAATCTTTTGTTATAACCTGAACTTGATGGTAGAAAAGTTTGGGAGCTATCATAATAAGTATTGTTTTCATAAATCTAATAAAGCAAAGGTCAATAAACAGATAACATATCTTCAGTGTGAATTATAGATATTATCACAAATATTACTTGAGGCCAAATAATACATTACAGTACATTTTCTACTTTCAAAAGGTGCATTGGGTATCATTTTTAGTTTCTAGAATCAGAGAATCTCTACTAAAATGTGTTTTATAATAATTAGTATTTTTTTCGTTATTCGTAGATTTGAATTTAATATATTTTATAAAAAAACAAACACTATTTTTTCGGTAGTGCTCAGATTTTGTGTCAAAACTTATTTCATATTTAAAGGAAATTTTTAAATAGTAGTTATTGTACGTCATTTGTTGTAAATGTAAAAAGAAGTTAAATTTATGGTAAATTATGTATTTAATAAAAATTTTTATGGCATATTTCGATTAAGCACATCAAAAAATAATCACAGACTGTGCGGCGGTATGAAATCCTATTTGGTATTTTGTTTTCCAATACTTTAAGGTTGGTTTTTATGTGCTTGAAGCAAATGTCACGTTCGCGATTTGAGCGTAAATTAAAGTACCACTAAAAGCCATAATTGGCCAATAAATTAGTTATTAAACAACATTTTAATATTTATTAGCTAATTAGAGACCTCATGAAGTGTGAAAATAATCGTTAAAAGTAAATAGTACAATTAAAACTTTATTGATATGAAAACTTCATTTTCAAGATAAATCTCTATCATAATTAAAGTCAATGAATGTTTTTAATTAAATTTTTAAATAATTTTTCGATACAATTTCAATATAACTTAAACAGGAAGGAAATAAAGACTTCTATTTCTTAAAATAATATACCAGATTACTCTTTAAATAAGAATATTTAGATAACTTTTATTTTGATAGAAATATATTTCAAATATAAGTTAATTATTTGAACGACGACTTTATCATCTAATCCTAAATTGAATGAGTATTTATTATCCTGCAAACAATATGAGTACAAAATTAAAGATAAAGGATATTTATTTATTTCATCATCTATCCATCTTTTCTTACGAGGCTTAAAGCTTCGAAAGCTTAGACAGTGTGATGTTTTAATCTACTAAAATTCCTCCGATGTCTGACACACTGCGCCTGTATATCTATGCTACTAGTCGTATTTTGTGGTTTGTTATTGTCGTCTATATAGCAATGAAAAACAATATTATATATGAGTAACCATAAATAGAAGATGCCCTCTTTCACCCTGAGGACTATCTCTGTTGCCGAGGGTTCACATAAGCGCATCATCGCTGTCATAAGAGTTTACCGCTGTAAGGTTCTGTTTAAAGTTTCATCTTTTTATTTTGCTTTATTGCCCTTATCAATGTTATTTCGGTTTTTTGAGTCACCAATTGTAGTCCTGCCTTTTGAAGTCCTGCCTTTTGAAGTCCTGCCTTTTGAAGTCCTCATTGCAACCTTGCTGCAGCGTCGTTCACCTTCTAAGTGGTTAAGTCTTTTGCTTACCATCACACGTGCAATAACATCATCATATCTAACAATTGCCGCAATTGTCAAAGTTTCATTTTAACGAGTTCATAGTACATGGCATTCTACAGTGTAGATCTCAGACCTGATCTTTGTGGAACCCTTTAGTTACCTCATATTCCATCCCTTTACTTTTGCGTCACAGTGCAGAGTCCGATTGTTAAATTAACTGAGAATAATGCGTAACAGATAGTCGGGTGCATTCAGAGTGTTGATCTAAATTGTTGTCTTAGATCAGTTCGCTGAGTTGAAAGCGTTTGAGAACCTTCCCCATTGTGCCCAGCATACATAGCGGCTTATATGCAGATTGTTGGTTAGGTAGTTTTCTTGACAATTCCGATCGTTGCAAATTTCATCGCGTTGAAAAAAAATATTTTTTTTTAGTGAGGCAATTATTATATATATCTACGAATATGTAGATAGAAATAACTTTTATGTGAGAACTTTTATTTCTTCAGATGTCACTGATGATATGTTTGTATTTAGATTCACATTATAATGCTGTTCAGCTAATTACTCCTGTGCGGTTAAAAATGCCAGCTCAATTTCCTTAGAAGAATTGGTTATGTATGTTATGGTTATGTAAAGACATCGATTCTTTTACTTTCTGCATGACGGATTTGTATGCTAAACCTATCTATCTGCCTACCTTTTTATATATCAATTCGTTTATATAAATATCAAACTGTTCACCTTTCTGTCTGTTTAGGTGGATACTATTAATCCATTATTTTTCATTTAATTGATGCAGTGGAAGATTTAAACAGTTTAGATATATAATTTAATTCAACAAAAACGTATAAAGAGTTCGAAACTGGTATAGAATATTAAAAATTCATTTCATTGTTTATAATTAACTAATTAAAAGAGATCTGCTATATTAAAAATTTAATGCTATTATAACGAAAAATCAATTAAACCACAAAATAGACTGCATTTATGCTTAATTTAATGACTTCATGTATGCGAAACATTTTAAAATCACTTATTTTTCGAAAATTTACTGGCATTTTATTCATCTGTGTACTGAAACGTTCGCCAAATTATAAAATTGCTTCAAAATTATTAAATAATTCATACATTTATTTTGCATTGCACAAATCCTAGTATAATTGAAAAAGCCGAGTACAAAAAAAGATTAAAAACCAAATTTTTATGTGTTTTCTCGGCATATGAACGGCACACCTACAAGGCAACTGCAACTGTGTCCTTTGTGGAGCACAGCATCCAATGCCTTGAATGCAGAATATAAATGATGCATATAAATGTCTGCATTTTATTGGTAATTTTACTATAAACATTTATGTTTGTTTAATAATATTTTTGCAATTGTAATGGTTTTGTGGCATTAAAAAATCCTAATAAAAGTTCTATAGCATATTAAATGAATATGCAACGTAATGTGTTACATTGATGTTGACGATAATGATAGTGTGTATACAGGCTATATAGTATGGCATAAATATTTTCTTTTTTACTGTAAAAAATCTTTAGTAATTAATTAAGGTTTAAGTGTAGCAGCTTATTTGGTCAAATGATAGGTAAACCGTTAAACATGGCGTATAAATGACGATTATTAATTAAATTAGAAATTGATACACAGAAGATGTTTACAAATATTATAGAATGCTTCCACCTTAACTAAAAATAATTAAAAAAATTACATAAACAAATCTACATATATATGAAAGTCAATTTCTGTTTGCTTGTCCTATTATTAGTTTATTTAAGCTCTTTATGGCATAAACTTGTTCAAAATTTTTTCCTAGTTATGCACAGAGTGGTAAAGATAAACTTTTGCCCTCAATTTTATACTCGTCGAAATTAGATATGAGAATGAAATTAGATTCACTGTAGCATTATCCACAATTGCATCAATATTTTGGTTTAAGTTTGACGAATAGCACATTCCGATTTCATTAAAATTGGTTTAAATAAATGTACCATAGCACATAACAATGTAATAGAAACATTTTATTGCATTTACGAGATTGAATTAGAAACAAAGGATAAATGGAAGTTGCTTTTTTACAGATGAAAGGAGATTTGCATTAAACTACACCGATTATTCCAGCATTAGCATAAAACTCTCCTTAGAAAATTTGTGGAGAAATGTGTGTTGATAAGACCCAATCATTACGTTGGATACGACTTTAAACTTTCAAACGGTACGTTTAAAAAGTGTTTATATACGACAGATATTAAACGTGAAATATTAAAAAGATACATATATCATATTTCTAATAAGTATTTGATGAGTAGTGACGAGTCCATCTTCCAATGAAGATGTGCTGTTAGCCCAGAAGTAAATCGAGAAATTAAAAGGTTCTTGCAAACGACAAATAAAGAATAGAAAAATATGTCAAATTATATATTTCGTTAGTAATGATGATACAAGTTCATCAAAGTTGTGGACTTCTATCTTATTATAAAAATATGAAATTTTTGGAAGCCTACAAATTCCAAGCAGACTATTAGTTTACACTTCTATCCAACATGCTAGCTACCTCAATACTCAATACTCATGGTTGTAACTAATTCTGCATTCTGTAAAATATATAAAGGAATCTATATCGATGAAACATAATCATTTCTAGAGAACACAACAGGGATTGACAGAAAAGAGGGTACATAACTGCTTTAATATTTGTGCAAATTGTAAATAATTTTTATATTATTTGATCATAATACTTACAGACATCGTGGTGCTAGTCAAATATTTACAACATTTAAGATAGAATCAAAGAAAAACAATTTTAGTTGTAATTTCCTTGAAAAATTAATAAAAATTTCATTCACATCAAATACTGCTAAAGAGTCTAGAACAATTTTGTAGACAATTTGCTTTTGAAGTGCATTAAAAGGATAAAAAATGCATAAAGGATCCAAGACAAAGTAACGACAGCAAAAATAAAATATGTTCAAGAAAGGAAATTCTTGCTGTTTTACGGAAAATGTAAACATTTAATAGTAAAATACACTGCTAATATATACACAGTAAAAAAATCTGGTTGAAGAAAGCAATATGGAATTTTCAGACATTATAAGCTATAGAGCAAGGTAACATGCTTGCATGTCGTAAAGCCTCAAGACGAGATACGTTGCTGCTATTGTAGTCACAACAGCGGCAACTATTAAACTCGCACTGCTACTGCAGCTGTCGAGGTTGCTACCGTTGCTACTGTTGCTACTGCCGTTGTTGTTTTTGCTGCTGCTGCAATGTTGCTTTAGTAAGAAATTCGCAGCAGATATAACATAGACTGTTGCATCCTTCATTTACGAATAAACCTTTAAGCAAACCAGGTGCTTTCTTTAAAATTTTATGTGTTTTTGTTTTTGTTAATAAAAAAATTCACAAAGAAGAGAAACAAAAGCAGAAAGCAAAAATAAATAAAAATAAAAAAATTGTGTATGAAAGGAAATAGTATTGTGAGCGTGTGAATAAATGAAGGTAAAATAAGCTCATGCACACACGCACAAACGTATATTTCAGTGCACACATTTGCACATGAAATATAAAAGTAAAAAGCTTTTGGGTCCTTTAGCTTCATACATTCTTTCCTTTCCTATTTTCTGATTTCACAATGCATTAGAAAAATTTTTTTTTACTCTTGTGATTGCTTTCATATTTCGTCTCGTAATGTCAAGTTAAATAGGAAATAACTTAGGAATGCATGCATAAATGCCGCTGCGGCAGCGGCAGGGCAGCGCAGCGACTGCACGGCGACAATCTATGCCTTTTGCTGCACTACTTACTTACTTGCTTACTAACTGGCTGCAGGCACTGAAACATCCTTGCTGGCTTTCATTGCTTTGATGTTGCTGCTAGCATGTGAAGCTCTCGTAGTTAAATCGTGCGAAGGTACTTAGTCTGAAACGTGACTTTGGTTTAATGTTTGCCTCCAAAATTTCTAAAAAAATTATGGCATAGAAAACTTAAACTGCTGAAATGCAAAAATGCAATTTATCAATTTAAAAATTGGAAAATTTGAAAATTTTTCGAATATGGAAACTCAATACTGCAAGTTATTGCTCACAAGTGAAAAATCCTTGCCAATAAAAAAATTCCCAATAAAAAAAACTAATACAGAAATTTAACGAAATTTATTTTTTTGCAGGCGAAAACTTCAAATCTTCTTGCACGTATCTTTTCTTCGAATAATAAGGAAGATAGAATGTCGATCTCAGATTTCCGCAAGAAGAAACTTTTGTTCCTGTTCAATGTATTTTTTGGTGAGTATAACGAGTTAAATTGAATAATGCGAAAGGAATACTTGATTCTGAATTTGATTTAGAGCTGCCAAATATCAAATTGTGCTTTAATGAGAATGTGTCTATTTATAGAAACGACTGTTTTTAATATATATAGTTTAAATCAATTACGAGAAAACAAATCTTACTGATCCAATTCAGTTCCAAAATACTATAAGTGGATTATTTATTTTGTTTTGCTTCGATTATATTGTAAACAAAATAAAAATGAATAATTGGAATTACACAATTACGCATTGTGCTATAGGGATTGAATTCATTTGAACGGATGTTTTCTTGTGACTACCAGTTAATGTTTACAACTAGAATAGTCTTTTATACATATTTTACTCGGTTTTAATATAATTTCATATTGAGAACTGATTTAACTGCTTTCACCTTTTTTCAAGTTAACGTCATATAAACTGTTACTGAGTTCTTTTTCTCTCTAAAATTTTTAATAAAAGATAAAATAAAAGAAAATCCATAATTCTTATTGAGATACTCCGTAGAGATATCGGTCTAAGATATAGGTTTACTTACAGGCCATTGCAAACTAGGAAACCATGTTAGAAGATTAAATCTTCTCTTTAATTAAACCTGTCGTAGTTGTGGGGAAGACGATGAGAGTGCCTCTCATCTACTATGTTTTTACCCAGCTCGAGCTCGAAAGCGACTCAACACTTTAGGAGCCCCCTTACTTGAGGATCTTGATCACTTACAAGACCTGACACTAAATAGCATTTTACGTTTCGCCAAATGTTCCAGGTGGTTTTAACTGAGTATTTTTCTACATGTACGATAGCACAATGGGCTAATAGGCGTAATTGGATCCACTGCGAATCGCCGGTATAACCTAACCTAACTTTTTTCAAAGGGTGTTATGTAGGTAGGTAGGTTGAAGTTGCGGCCTTGTTGGAGTCGTAATCTAACTTTCAAAGGCTGTTAGGTAGTTTGGAGTTGTGGCCTTGTTTCCATAAATCCTTGAGTTGTGGCCTTGTTTAAGCTCAAATAATGGCTCATTATGGTACCACATTATGGTATTTACATAGATTGAAACATCAGTATACAATTCTCTGACACATGAGGTGGAGCACGGTCTCCTCCTCATCCTTAGAACCACAGCCACGAGAAAATTCATTGTAGGGTAGGCACAGTCACATAGCATTCTTTCCTATTTCGCAGTAGCCCGTCAGCACAGATACCGTGGTGCTGATCAGGTTTCGCCTTAGTTGAAGTAGCTGACTAGTACGTTTCTTGAAGGCTGTTAATTTTGTTTCAATAAAACTAAGGGTATTTTCCTTAATATCGTTTTAACCTTAAAACTGAATTTTGTATGGAAAAAATACGAGTAACTTAATTTCGCTGAAACGAAGATGAAATTCAGATTTTCATGAAAATAAGGTGTGTCTAAACATAGTAATACTTTACTACAAGTAAAGCTTATGCTTTATAAAAAAATGTTGAATTTTAATTTGAGACATGCCCCAATTTAGTGTTATGTATTTGCTTTTTTTTAAAGTTTGTTTTGCTTTTGATAGACCATCGTAACCACACTGTATCTACAATGCCGTTTGATGATCCTATCTCTATTTTAAACATAGTTAAAAATAAACGATTTTTCAAATTAAACTTAATCGAATTGATATATCAGTAAATGGTTAAATATAGTTAGTTCAGAGTTTGTAAATTAAATTTCAAAATTCGTTTTATTCATAATAAGTTTAATATTTATTGCAACTTTATGTGTGCACTTTACACACACAAAAAAAAATTTAAAACCATTTGGTTGAACATCAATCATTTGTAGTAATGACCACATCATATTTTTTCCACAAATTCCATTTTTTGTTTTGTTTTGTGATAATCACGCATAGAAACAATCTGTCATATTGGCAACTCTGAAATAAAATTCATAACAACTTCCTGTTAAAAGCGGAAGTGCTCACAGCTGTGCACTAAATTCAGTTAAAATGTTCATAACTTAAAAAAAATTCTAACAAAATACAAAAATTCAAAAATATATAAATAATGTGGCAACAAAAAAAAAATGAAATTAAATGAAATTTTACCAACTTCTGCTGATTTTGTTAAATTTACTTACATTTTCCATGTTTTCCGTTGTTAAATAAACGAAATCCGAATGGAAAATGTGCGGCATCGCAACAATTGCAACAAATTTTTGGGTATTTTTCGTTGACATTTCATTTGAATTTTGATGGTTCAACAAATTTATAATAAAAACAACAAACAACAATTAAAACTACAACAATGACAATAACAACAACAACAATCAAAAAAACAGATGTGAATCAAAGCGGCGAAATTGATGTGAAGGATTTTGAATTGGCCATTGAGGTAAATAAACAAATAAGAAAAAAAATTAAAATATTTTAAAATCATAATTATACTAATACTTTTTTTAATTGAATAATAAAATTATTAAAACCTTATTTCATATAATATATTAACATAAATTATATATTATATAAAATATAATAATATACATTATTTCATTTATTTATTTTATTTTTTATATCAATTTATTTGTTTTTATTTCTATTTATTTATATGTATAAAACAATTGTTGAAAATAATTTATAATATTTTTCCTAAAACATAATAATAATTTACATTATATCCTTTTGTATTACCTTAAATATTTTGCGGGCTAAATTAAAATATGTTATACTAAATCAATGACTATAACACAATTTAATATAAATTATTTTTTTAACGGAACTGTAAATTACAAGTAAATTTTTAAATTCTTTAATAAGCATTTATATTATTATGTTTTTAATAATATAATTTTGAGCAAGTGAAATTGTTTGTGAACTTTCATAACAAATTTAACAGGAAAATGCGTCAAGTACTGACTCTGAGTTTCAAATTTGACAGGGCACGAGTTCA